GGCTTGCTCGTGTATCAGGTCTGTCTTTCAAGCAGTTCCTTCATAATTGGCGGGAGGTCCAAGGGATCGCTCAGGGAGTTCGTGTTCGCTCAGACACATGACAAATTAGAGGGACCATTGGCTGTAACATTGACATCAGACTGTGCACTCTAGGGCAGAGTAACGGACAAGTTTAAGGTCAGAGCTGTGATTTTAAGTGGTCATTAAATCAGTGACAAAATTAAGCAGATTTAAACAATTTCTACTTGTGTTGGATACAAATAACTACCAAGAATGACTTTCAGCTTTTGGGTTCTGAACTAAAGCCTCCAGTTTTCTGATTGCCACTTGAGACTAAAGTCTCCTGAATGTTTACAGCCTTATGTGAAACAGGTTTTGGATGGAGAATTGCTATTGTGGCGTCCATTAGTTACATTTTAACTTCAGTTTGTGGAAAGCAGCGTTCTGACCTGTACTGATGGTTTTGTTGCCACTGTTAGATGACAGTCCGTGATGCCCTGAACCAGGCAATGGATGAGGAGTTGGAGAGGGACGAGCGGGTGTTCCTGCTGGGTGAGGAAGTCGCCCAGTATGACGGTGCCTACAAGGTAAGTTTAAAGCTTAGACTGCAAGTGAAGTTCCTGGAGGCAGTTTGTGTTCTGTCCCAATGAGGGCAGTCAGACTAATGGTGGTTACTGGTGCAGGTGAGCAGAGGACTGTGGAAGAAGTATGGAGACAAACGAATTATTGACACTCCAATCTCAGAGGTGAGATACAAACTGCCTGCCCAACAGATGTTTTCCACAAATCTAAGTATCCCCACTGGTGGTGTTGGACTCATTTTAGCAACTTTTTGTTTTTGGTGCAGATGGGGTTTACTGGTATTGCAGTTGGAGCTGCTATGGTAAGTCTGACATGTTCCTGATGGGATATACTAAACACTGACTTTTGTAACATTTTCACTTGAGTTTGTTTAAAACGTCATTCTAAACACTGAATAATAACTTTTAGTCAAGAATTACCTGAGATAATGGGCGTAAGTTCAACATCTTCATAATTACACTTGAATTCTAAGCAGTAATTCAGTTCTGTGCACACTTCGCTCTCTACAGACCTGAATTATGGCTCCATTGCCCCCCCAAATTAGCTTTACACCTCAATAAAGCAGTACACAGTCAACTCCCAAGCCACCTTGACTTGTATAATAAAGCACTTTACCTACCTTGAAGCCATAAATGCCAAAATAAGAGTTCCTTTAGATTAGAATGCTTCAAAGTACAGATTATGAAAGCTCTTCAGATTCACAAACTACCTGATACTTAAAACTTGCAAGTGACAAATTCCCTAACAAGATCAATGTCCTCTTGCAGGCTGGTCTGAGGCCCATCTGTGAATTCATGACCTTTAACTTCTCCATGCAAGCCATTGACCAGATCATAAATTCTGCAGCAAAGACCTACTACATGTCAGCTGGGCTACAGTCAGTCCCAATTGTTTTCAGAGGCCCTAATGGAGCATCAGCAGGTGTCGCTGCACAGCATTCACAGTGCTTTGCTGCATGGTGCGTTCAAGACATCACTTTACTGTTTGCAGTAACTCTAGCTGATGTTTGGCAGCTCTGACATCAGTGTTGTCATTTGTCTCCAGGTATGGTCACTGTCCAGGACTGAAGGTTGTAAGTCCATGGAACTCAGAAGATGCTAAAGGCCTCTTGAAATCAGCCATCAGAGATGAAAATCCTGGTGAGATGCCACACTAAAACGCTTAAAACTTGGACAGTCACCCTGCATATCAATGTTCAGGCACTGCTAGCTCAGTTGATTACAAAGTTTTTAATTAAACAAGCCAGCTGGTCCCTATTTGTCTCAGCCAAAAGTCAAACAGTAACTCAAGCATTGTTGGACTGCAACGGCCTAGTCCTTGTTCTGCTCTGGAGGGTAACTTTAACGCAACAAACACTTCTCCCAGCTACCAATCAAGGCACTTGTCCCTCATTCACAGGATGAGGTGCTACCAGGAGAAGCAGAAATTATTCCCCTAATAGTCTGAAAGTATTTAAAATGGCATAAACATCAGCTGAAAATGCAGCTTGAGTGAGTTTGTAGCAGCCTGGCTGTTCAAACAGACATGTGAACTGAATCTGTCTGCAGTGGTGGTCCTGGAGAACGAGCTGCTGTATGGCGTTCCCTTTGAGATGTCAGAGGAAGCGCAGTCCAAAGACTTCACCATTCCCATTGGAAAAGCAAAGATTGAGAGACAAGGTGAGTGACAGAACACCAGGATCTGGATCCCAAGTTTTTAACACTGAGGCTTCAAAAGTCATTTCTGAACATGTCCTTTTCAGGCAATAGCATCACCCTCGTTGCTCACTCTCGGTATGTTGGTCACTGCCTGGATGCCGCAGCTGTCCTTGCCAAAGAGGGAATAGAGTGTGAGGTAATGCAACACCTATTGACTGGCTGAGCTAGACTGCTCAGAAGCGTCTTAACCATTTCTTGTCTGTCAGGTGATCAACCTTCGGACCATCCGACCCATGGATGTGGAGTCTATTGAGACCAGTGTGATGAAGACCAATCACCTGGTGACTGTTGAGGGTGGCTGGCCTCAGTTTGGGGTTGGAGCAGAGATCTGTGCCAGGATCATGGAAGGTAATCTAAGCTCAAACTAATTTAAAAAAATAAAATAAAATTTGCACGCATAACTGGTTCCCTTAAACTCTTAGATCTGGATCTTCAGGAGCCAAAGCATAGATGACACATATTGGGATTGACACTGTAATGATTGCTCGTGTATTTACTAATAGCTGTTCAGTCTGAAGTCACAACCTCTAATTATTTCAGGCCTCGAGACTAACATGCCTTTAATTTCTCAGGTCCTGCCTTCAACTACCTGGATTCTCCTGTTACCAGAGTAACTGGCGTGGACATCCCCATGCCATACGCTAAAATCTTGGAGGACCACAGCCTGCCGCAAGTCAAAGACATCATTTTCTCTGTGAAAAAGACCCTCAACATCTGAGACCCTCATCCACCGGAGTTCTTGTTTACAGATGGTGGCAAAATATCTAATGTGTAAATACCGCCAAGCGCTCCAGATGTTGAACAATGCACACAGCTGTGTAGCTCAGAGCAGTGGACACTGTTTCAGTCATCCCAGCACCTATGTGTTAACTCTGTTACTAACTTGACTTAACTGTCTGTGGCTCTGGCTGCTCTCTTGCACTTTTCCCAATTTTAAAAAGAGAAGAGGAAAAAATGTATCGTACAATCTGTTGGCTGTAATTTATTGTCAAATTAAATTTTTGACTCTTCCCAAAGTTTACCAATTAGTCTGGACTCTAAAGTATCTGTTAACTGTTCTCGGCTATTTGCTTTCAATTACCCTTCTCAAGAGGTTTTTCAGATTTGGATAATCATTTTTATTTTTCCACTCTTTATTCATCTGAACTGGGATGAAAGTCATCCTGCTGCTGCCTTTAAAACGCACACTTCACTTAACTCAGACTTGGGGTTTGTCTTTAAAAATGGGGAAAATGGCACCGCTGTGAGCTGGAAACATTTAATGTAGCGGCTCATTTCTGTTGACTGTTGCAGAAATAAACTTTGATCCTCAGTTTTGTTTGATTTACTACATCTACACCATCCTGCCCACAGTTGAATTGTTTGACCAGATTTGCACTAAAGACCTCATCTTGAGAGAAACCCATGGAAACTGAAGTTTCTGAAGACACTAGACTAATCTGAACTAAAAGATTGAAATATGCTGGCTGAGAAACTGCAGGTGGACTGCTACTGTGACAGATTAAAATTGTTGGAAAGAGGTCTGAGTGATGGGAAAAGACTTGAAGAAAACTCTTCCCAACCCAGAATGTGAGCTGTTTTATCCAGGTCAAATGAAAACTGAAACATTTGGATTTCCAGAGTAATAATTTGTTGCAGACGCCTGGACCAAACTCCATAAAGGTCTAACTTCAGATTTTATTAACCCCGTGAGGCCTGAAGTGACGTGCTCTAACATTCACACATCAGGGGGAGCTTAGAGTTCAGTATCTTGCCCAAAGACACGTTGGCATGCAGACAGCAGCCGCCGGGGATCACATCACTGACCTTCCAATGAGCACATGATCTGTCTCCTAAGGAAGCGCCACCTTGGGCTCAGAGTCATGACTGGGACCTTACAAGGTTAATGAAGTGCAGTTACTCATTGTATTATGACAACAAAGTGTGTTGTTAGTTTAAATTGATGGAGTTCAACAGCTCTGAAAGAAGAATACTTTCAACTGTTTGTTATCCAGTGGTTTTACTGGTTGAGATTAAAACTGGTTCATGCAATAGAATCAGTCACACAGTGTCAGCCAGTTTTCCCGACTAATCCTTGTCCTGGACTAAAAGCAAATTTAGAAGATTAAGATTTTTTTTTATTCTAGGGTTAGGTTTCATCCACACCTGAGAAACAGAGCCTCAGTGAATTTGTACATTTTGGTTTTGAGGACACTCAGTCAGCAGGAGAACCCACAGGCCCAGGGTGCACCTTATACTGGTGCCCAGTTCAGATAAAAAGAGGAGAGTTGTGTTGGGAAGGGCATTTGGTGCATGATTCATGATCTTTATGCAGATTAAAATAATTCTGGTCAAAGTCCTGGATGGAGGCAGATGATGTGCTGTCACAACCCAGCGACTGTTTATGTGATGTGGATTAAAAAGATGCATAGTGCTAATTTCCAGGTCTGTACTTTTGAGCCTTTATCAGCACCTCAGTACATCCTGTCTAAACAGTTTCCTCATTGGCTGTCCCTCATCTGGCCCCCACAAAGAGAATTTGGTGCCTATTAGCTATGCCTCTTTATATACAGACTTCATTATTTATAAATTGTTTAAACATATACACTGGTATATTGTGTTCATATGTGACAGAAAATAGGGAAAAACATCACGGATACCCTTTAAGAGCAGCAATAAACAAGAGTCAATGTAGCCTTAAACATTTTTATTGGTTAACTTTTTGCAGTAAGAATCTCAGTTTCAGACTCGCTGTGCTTCCCCTGTCTGAGCGTCAGATCTGAGATCAGTCGGAAAACACAGCGATCTACAACTTAAACATAAAAATAAAAACCATCTCTGAGACTCTGAGAAACCCCAACGGACCAAACCTCGTTACAAATCAGAGCGAGTTACAGAGTGTCCTGCTTCAGGAAGCTCTCAGACTGAACTGAGCAAACACATCATCATTTTTAAACTCTTAAATGTTACAGGTCTTTGACTTTGTAATAATCCCATGAAAAGAACATCACACTCTGGTTCAAATTACAGTTACAAACCCCCCCCCCAAACCTATCTAACATTCATTTCCACTGTAATCAGGACCGAAGTGCAAAAAATTATCTTTTCTGAAACTTATTAGTAAACTTCACTGAAATTACAGTCTAAGGAACTTTTTTTGGTATTTATCACATCTTTAAAGGCTTTTTACACATTTCCCACTGTGTTCGTGTCATGCCAAAAAAGTTCCTCTAAAAGCTCTGATACATTAAACAATCTCCTGAAAACCAAACATAAGAACACTAACTACCACTGAAAGTCTGTTTTAATGGTTACTCAGTGGCTATGATGTCTGCAGGCGCCCGAATCTGCAATCCTGCCATCGGTCCAGCATGACACGAAGAAACGATGCATAAAAGCTTCGCTGTGCATCAAACAAGCACACCAAAGCCTTCGATCGCTTCAGTTTGGTTCATCAAAGCTAACAAAAAGTCCAGGTCCTTTTCTCGGGTGTGGATCTACTCAGCTCCCAGCCTCAGTCCTTTGAGACGTCACAGTGTTCAGAATCAAACTCGCACAATCTTCTCCTGCCAGTTTGTAAAAATAAAGATGGCGTAACAGCAGCAGGATTAGAAAATTTTCACCTCCTGATAGCTCTGACAGTCCAATGAACACGGAGTCCACGACGGTCACTGATGGCTTTAGTCAAAGTGTTTGAGGATATCCAGTCTCTCTGAAGCTAAAAGTGCAGCTTGTACCCCCCTCTCATGCATTTTACATGGCATCACAAGCAGTTTAATTTTTTTTGTAAGAGTAACTGTGTAATTACAGGGAAGTGCTTTGAGATTCAATCGATATCCAGAATTTAAGAAAAACTCCATGGAGGGAACTGCTCGGACTTTACTGAAAGTTAGGGTGTGTTTAAGTGTAAATCTTATGAGCAGAAAAAGATTCAGTGTTATGAGAATCAAGCCATAATGTAATGAGAATAGAAATGTGCTGGCCACTTGAGGCTGTCTCCAAACACGAGCCAATCCCCATAGAGTCATATGGTTAAATGGATGACTTTACAACAAATAAAAACATGTTTTGGTCTGTAATGGATAGTTTTCCACTTTGTATCGACTTTATAAGCAGTGGGTTTTGATAGAACTGATAGTTTTGGAGATTGTTAGGCATACAGTTAGAGTGGGAAGGTACGGAAACAAAGCCAGGTGTAACCAATCGCTGCCTGCTAGGCCTCACTTGTGCTAATCTGAGACTCTGAAGTGGCCCTAGCCGCTCTATATACAGCTTTTGGATGACTAACATTAAAGTTTTGGTGAATGGAATTTGGCAGTAAATCAATGAACTAGCTTAACAGAGTTTCCTGACAGAGAGCGCTGTTCAATGTTTAGCAGCATCTCATCTTCTGCTACTAAAAGTTCAAAATACTATAAAGAGAATATTTTGGTTTTAATGTGAAAACTTGTGACCGAGTGCAAAACCTTAAAGCACGATCAACTAACAAATAATCAAAACAAAATAACTTTATTCTCATAACGTTTATTTTCTGTTGCTATATTTGACTTTACTAACATAATATTTCAATATCATGTGAAATAATTACTTTAATCTTCAAACTAAAAGAGCAAAAGGCCCAGTGTTTTTACTTTTTTATTCTCTAGGTCATTGTACTTCATCCTGTTGCTGTTCTTGTGATTTGAGCCAAATTTGTTATTTTCCTTTTTAAATCTGAATTTTCTTTAATTTGCTATGAGTTACAATGAAAGGAAGAATTTGTTGATTTTCAGTCATAATTAATCAGCTGTGGGTGTTTTGCTGTTAGTCACATTGGAGCAGTTTTTGTGTTCTTGGGCTCAAACTGAAACATAACATTTATAGTAAAGCTCTTATTACTTTCCCTCTACAGTTACTAACCATGCCAGGGAAGAGGGCGGGGACTCTGTGCTGCTCTCTGATTGGAGGAGGGGCCTGCAGTCTTAAGGAGCTGACAGATCTGATCGTCCGACCTCCGAGTGTCCCTTCAGCAATCCGAGCCTCACAACCACCACCCTCTTCTTTTTCTGCTCCGAGTCCTCATCATCATCATCGTCGTCGTCATCCTCCTCCTGCTGCTCCTTCGCCTTTCGTTTCACTCTCTCCTTCCTCTTCTCCTCCTTCCTCTGCTTTTTCGCCCTCTTCTTTCTCTTCTTTTCTTCTTTTTCCTCCTCTGCACGATCCTCCTCAACCTCTTCCTCCTCTTGCATCCCGTCCTGCACTTCCTCTTCAACTACCTCCTCTTCTACTGCCATCACCATTTCCTCCTCTTCCTCCTCCTCTTCATTGTCATCATCTTCCTCCTCCTCATCTTTCTCTTCTTCATCTTCCTCCTCATCTGTCATCACTTCTCCCATCTGTTCTTTCAGTTGCTCTTCTTTAGCGTTCATCCCGGCGTCTCCATCCTGTGTCGATCGATAGAAACAGTCAAAAACAGCGCCCGTGTGGTCAAAAATATCACTTTAAGAGTTTAAAGTATGTTTACAGCTAGCTGGTTGAATTTCATGTTAAATGACCAATCTAACATTTTTCTAAATGTAAACAAATCACATATAAAGCTTGGATTCCCTCGCCCCCACACAGCAATCATCATGAAGTCCATTCATTTGTGCTGAGCAAAGATCTTTGACTGTTTTGTTTAATCTTCCCCACAGCCACTGAATAGTCATGGCAAGAATCGTGGTCTTAAAATAAAAAGGGAAAAACAAAATGAAACTATATTGTATAGAAGTTGAGACGAGCATTAGCACCTCCAAGTGTCGGAGCAGAAAAGGGTGAAAAGTTGCTACGCCAAGTGGTGGAGTTCAAGTATCTCAGGGTGTGTCTCATGAATGAGGGGAGCAGGGGATTTGTGCACGGGTTTGTTTTTGTGACAAGTTTAAAAACCAAGCTGTAAATTTTCTGGTGGAGCCACATTCCTACCCTCACTTACGTCTACAAGCTGTGGGTACTAACCAAAAGGGTGAGATCCCACATACATGCAGCAGACGTGTCTGCGCTTTCCCTTAGAGATGTGGGAGGGGCTCAAAGTAGAGCCAGCTGAAGGTGTTCAGCATCTGACCAGGATGCCTCCTGGTTCAGAGGTTATGTTATACTGGGAGGAGACCCTGAGGCTGAGCCACGACACATTGGCTTGGGAATGCCTCACTGGTTGTGGTGGCTGGGGAGTGAGAAGTCTAGCCCCCAAGAGCTGGACCAACTAAATGACAAAAAAAATAATAATTGTTTTTTTAAATGCAAGAATGGATGGATGATTTTATACAAGGATGTAGATTAGTCCAGGCCTTTATAATCAAGGACATGTTTATTTTACAGATTCATTAACGCATGTGAACTAACTCATTCACTGCCAGCCATTTTCAAATGGCTGGCAGTGAAACACAACAAGACTTGCACCACATTTTTGTCTCACTGCGCAATCCCTTACGTGCACAAACCCTGCACCTCCTTGCAGGTCTACTTTTACTGCTGGTGGGCTTCAGTTGAACTTATGTTGACTGCCATTGACGTCTATAGACGTCAATGGCAGTCAACGTAAGTTTTTCAATTGACGTCTATAGACGTCAATGGCAGTGAATGAGTTAAACACATGTCTGGTTAAAAAAAATAAAGCACAGCCCAGAGGACTTCAAACATCCCCGACGTCCTCACAGTACCCGACCCCACAAAGCACCTGCAGGGGTCACATAATCACTGTCTTGAAGTATTTTGGTGGCATGAAGAGTTTCATTTTTAAAACTTGCTTGATTCTATAGTTCACACATTAGTTCAATCTCAGCCACATCGACACAGATTGCATATTTATCTTGTTTTCAGTCCAGCCCTACCGGTGGTGACACTCACCATGTCTTTGCCATTTCGCAGTCTGTGCAGCAGCAACCTGACGGTGTCTTTGTTCTGGCACAGGCCCATAGTGTTGAGGATTTCAAGGGCGGACCCGGAGCAGCCCTGCAGGCGGAGCTCAGCCCCCAGAGCGGCCTGCAGGAAGTTGTTCTTCCAGATGTTCCTGGTGAAGAGAGGGATGGAGAGCGCCACCACAGTCCGTCGCTCCAGCAGCATGAAAGCCTGCTCCTCTGTCAGCTGGCTGCCGAACAAATAAAGAAAATTCAAACTGTTGACCCACGTTTGCTTGGATGAGATGAAGTCTTAGTACTGATGTAAAAACATTCCGAGTCAGACTTACCTGTTGCTCTTGTAGAGGGCATTGATGTCTGGGAACAGTGAGCGGAGGCACGTGGTGACAAGCGGAGCCTTTTCCTGAACCCAGTTCAGACATCGCCGCCAGGGGAAGGACGACAGCGGTTTTTTCCCAGATACCTTCTGATGGAAGGGACTGTCTGACAGTCGCGACAGCGTCTTCATCTAAAACATCACCAGGAAACACAAGAATGCAGGCAGTCACGATTACATAACAAAAACAGCTACCAGTTAAGAAGACATCAAATATGAGATGTCAGGAAGCTTCTTTCCTCACCTCATTTTTCAGCTGTTTGCTCCAGAACTCCATCATGGGTTTCCGGGCACCTTTAGAGGACCAGAGCATTTGGAAAGCAGCTTTGTAGCTGGACTTGCTCACAAGCAGCGCTGCTTTGCTCTTTTTCCCCATCCTGCAACCTGCCGCCTTCTTATCATTCACCTGCGACTACACACACACACACACACACACACACACACACACACAGTAAGAGTGTTTTTAAAACACCAACACACCAATGACAACTTCAAAAAAAATGTGCTTACAAAAGCATTTCAGTACAAGATTTGTGATTCGGCTTGGAAAATCTGAAGTGGATTTTTTCCACAGTTTTAACAGACAACATTTATCAAGGAAGTAACTGACAGAGAAAAACTGCAGATGGCAGAAATGCAGAAAAAATAAGATGAAATTGCATATTTTGATGGCAGACAGAGACTGTATATAAAGAACAGAAGACATGATGTCACCAACTGGTCAGTGAAGGTTATGAAACCTGCACATATGGTAACAAGTTACCAATTAGAGAGCAAAGCCACCATAAACCATAATCTTATTGTCCTTTTTCCTCACAATGATGAGAAGACTCCAATTTATAAATAAATATCATGATGAATTAAGTAAGAATTGAAACTAACTGAAAAAGCAAAAACTTCTGTGAAGTTTTTATTGAGATCAAACATTACATAAAACAAAGAGTCATTTTCCCCTAGTTTTCCATACACTTTAAATTTTTTATTTATTCATTTATTTTTTTAAAATCAGAGGAGGTGCCCCATGTGGTCCAAGAAAAACAATGTTTTCTTGGACCGCATACCCGGAAGTTGCATCCCTCTACTTGCAGCTTTACCTTTTTATCTAAGGCCCTTCCAACAGATGAACATATGCTTCATATGTCTAAAAATAAACCGAAGCTGACTTCTGTCTGTACAAAGGATTCAAACCACTTTTGATAAACTACCAAAACAGTACTCTGAGCCAGGACTCTAGTCTATGGGACAGAAAAGTAGCTATGAAAAGAATATAAAGAAACAACTGCTATGTCCAAAAATGCAAGTGTTTTGCTTTGAAGCACTATTAGCTGCAGCTCAACTAAGGTTAGGCCATACTTTTTGTTTTATGAATTTATACCGCAACACAGTACATTGGGTCAACCAGGTAAGTCGTTTGGGACACAATGGTAATGATAACCTAAGGAAAAAGTAGAGCTCCTTCAGAAGATGGGGGTGAGACTAAAAGGAAACAACTACAAACTCAGGAGCTCATGTTCAAAAACATCAGCAGATTTCACTGTGAAATGCTGCCCACTGGTGGGAGGGGGGGGTAATTGCAAGCGATACCTGTAACCAAAGGGGAAATACCTGCTGCCCTACACGTGCTTATATACACAATAGAGAAGCTGAACTTTCACACCATCTGTCACACACACACACACACACACCGGTTTAGTCGGAGGCGGCTTCAGCCACAGATTCCGTTTCCCGCTCTGTTTGCGTTTGCATTTGCTCCGGATCACCTGCGCGCACGTCTCGCACAGGAAGGACTTTTCGTGGACCACGCAGCCCGGGAAGGCCCACTGCACAGTTTCCGGGGAGGTGAACGTGTACACCGCCCTCCGGTTGAAGGACCGACCGTGCCGCTCGAACTCGAGCCTGCAGCAGGAGCAGTTTTTGTCCTCCGGCCGCCTCACTCGCCGCGGACCTCCGCGATGGACCGCCTGAGCAGCCAACTGAGAGTCTTCAGTCTTTTGGGGGTGTACTCCGGTCTGTGCCTCCACTTCATTCCCAACAGGGCAGTCTACCTCTGCACCCACAGTGGGTTCTGGAAGCTCCATTTGCAGGGACTCAGAGGGCTGCACCAGGACGCTCTGCACGGGCTCTCCCGGAGGATTGGTGGAAGAGCTCGCCAAGTTTGTGTCTGCAGTGTGGGCATAGTCGTGCTCGTTAGATTCGGCTGAGGGACCCGTTTCCTCATCGTTCCCCGCGTTGGCGTCAGCATTTTCACTCGCCATCATAACTTCAGTCTTCTGTTTGTGGTGAGATACGCAGAGAGAAAAACTCTGTCCGGATCCGGTTCACAGCAGAGGGCTAACGGTGTGAGCTAACGTCAAATCCCGCCAGCGTTATCCTGGAATCGCTGCCCGGCGGAACTCCTCTAGGGGCCTTCACAGATATGTGCGAGAGAAAATCTGGTTGATATTCGGTGCAGTGCAGTGAAAATAAAGGCAGACTTCCAGCTGCAAAAACTCGGCAACAAATGGAAAACAGACGAGCTGAGAGCTACAGGATGTAGTCTCTGATAAATAAAACAGATCGTGTCCCTATTGGGTGACCGGTTGTTCTGTGCGCCCCCTGTGGTGGGAGGTAATTGCTACACTCCCAAGCTCATTATAATCAGAACTGAAAAAATAAATCAGCCACGCTTCCAGTTTAGGGGTCACACCTCCTAACCCACCCAGCCACTTGGGTGTGGCTCTCAGTGTACTGTCCCAGCTTTCATCTTACATCCTGGAAAGTCTCCAGGGCACTTTTGCACAGTCTGCAATGTGAATCCTATTGGCCATGGTAGACTCCTGCCTCTGTGGATCTGCTATTTAAGGCAGATCTGCTATGTGCTGTCTTTTTAAGCTGGCCTTTTCTAGCCACTGATAGTATTTCTTGATATCACCCACTTCCTTTATGTGTCCTCATACCTTTGTCTTCATGCCTTTGTCTTCTGCTGCCTAAGGCATTTTTGAGCAGCTCTTTTCCGGGATGTAGCTTCCTGATGTATTTGTGGACACACTGTGTTTAATTCTAGATTGTGGTTCCAAAATTCACGAATCCTTGCCCTCCCTCTTTCCATTGATTATAGAGACAGAGGGATTCTGGGCTTTGGGTGGAGACCTCTGTGCATTGTGAAGATTTTTCATATTGATATCAGTGGCATCAATCTCCTCCTCCCATGGTCAGGTTAATTATTCTTTCTTTCTTTCTTTCTTTCTTTCTTTCTTTCTTTCTTTCTTTCTTTCTTTCAATCATTTAAATATACTTATTTGATTATTTTCTTGACTGGCTTTCACATATCTTGTGTAATTCATATTTAGACTTTGATAGCTCATTTGTTTTCATATCTATCAAGTTCCTTTTTTTATTTCCTGATTCATTCGAGCTGCACACTGTAGGTTTATTGGTTTATTTACATTCTCCACTTTTATTTTGGCAGATCTTACCGGAAGTCTTTAGTATTAATTATGACGGACATACAGGTTAGCTAGCAATAGCTCTAACCTCCATCTGTGTTTGTGGTTGAAGCGGTGGTTGGTAGTGATGAAGCCGTTATAGGTAAGACCCGACTGACTTTTTAAATATATGTTTTTATGAAAGTATCGGTGTGATGCTTTTTTCCCCTTACAGCTATGATGCTAACGAGCTAGCAGGCGTTAGCCGCAGCACACTGGTCAGCTTCAGTGAGATAGATACCAGCCTTCAACTGAACTATGATCACTCATCAGGCCTTTACCTGATTGTTTTCATATCTCAACAAGGTTACATTTAGGTTAGATTTTCGAGGAATATTTGGTCTGGGGAATATCTAAACTTTACCTCTCTAAGTAATTCAGAAATTCTTCAAAAATCTAAATAAATTAAGTAGTAATTATTAAAAACAGACCCAGAATAGGAAATTAGTCAGTGGAATTGCCTGTGTGTTTATCTGCCAAGCACAAAGACTAAAGTGACATTTACAAATCGTTTTTTCACATTGATATGAAATGGAGATATGCAGTTAGTAACTTTTATTCCTGTGCTAATACAGTTAATAGTATTTAAGTATATTTTTATATTTTCCTTTATTAGAGTAAATGTGAGAAATTCACGTTTCTGTCGTCTGTACTTAAGACGTTATTAGGGCTCAAATTTGAGCTTTGGTGAATTTAAAAACCAAATTTTACTCAGTTCGAAATGTTTTAACTTGGTTTGTGGTACAAGGATCAAATTTTGCATGGCTTCATGAAATATAATAACGTTTTTGAACCTGCAAGCTGTAGTTTGTGGTAACTATTGTGATTTGCATACATAAAAATCTGTTTGTCAATCATGAATATGTACATATGAAAAGAAGATGTACAAAGTGTAGCAGAGACTTATGAGACTGAAGACTGCCAGTTTTAATAACCCAAGCATTTGGGAGTCTATGGAGTTGTTTTATTATTAATATTGTTAAATGAATGAGTGGAAAGGCAGTTGGTCTGATAACATACCGGAAGAGGTTTGGAGACATCTAGGGGAGATGGCCGTGTACTTTTTACCAGAGTGTTTAACAGAATCCTGGAGAGTGAGTGGGTGTCTGTGGAATAGAGAAGAAGCCTACTGGTGCATATTTTCAAGAATAAGGGTGATATACAGAGCTGTAATAACTACAGAGGGATTAAGTTGATGAGCCATACCAAGAAGCTAGGTGATGATCAGTGAGCTGCAGTACAGCTTTATGCTGAGAGAGAGCGCTACAGAAGCAATGCTTGCTTTGAGAGTGATGATGAAGAAGTGTAGAGGCGGTCAGAAGGAGTTGCACTGTGTCATTTTGAATATAGAAAAGGAATACGATAGGATGCAAAGAGAGGAATTGCGGTACTGCACAAGGAAGCCAGGAGTGGCAATGAAGAGTGTGAGGGTTGTGCAACACATGTATGTGGACAGCGATACAGTGGTGAGGTGTGTAGTAGGAGTGACAGATGGGTTCAAGGTTGGGGTTGGATTACATCAGGGAAATCTGTGGACTGCGATGTTTGCAGGGACATTGGGATCTTTTCTGAGAGTAGGGTAGCAAGAGAACCTGGAGTGATGGAAGTACAGACAAGTACAGAATTATGAGCCCCTCTATGAAAATTTCATTTTAAGGAGGAGACAAGTGTAACATTGAAGCTGCAATGAGTAGAGATAAAAAGGTGGATGAGTTTACCATCCAAAGCAACAAAGAGTGCACAAGAGGTGAAGACGAGAGTGCTGTCAGGGTGGAGAGGACAGTGAGTGTCAGGGGGGATTTTTCACATTAGGATAGCAGCAAGGGTAAAAGGAAAGTTTACAAGTTGGTAGTGAGACCTGCAATGATGTATGGTTTGGAAGGGGCAGAGTTACAATGCTATTTGTTGAGAGTGGTGTGGATGAACAAGATTAGAAATAAGTACATAATAGGGACAGCTGAGGTTGGAGCAATTTGGTGACAAATTAGAGCAGCAAGGCTGAGATGGTTTGGACATGTGCAGAGGAGAGATACTGGATATACTGCACAAAGGATGGTGATTATGGAGCTGCCAAGCAGGAGAAAAAGTAGAAGACCAGAGAAAAGACTCATGGGCGTAGTTAGGACATATAGAAGGTTGGTGTGAGAGAAGAGGAGGATGCTAGAGATGGTGTGAAATGTAGGCAGATCCCCCGTGGCGACGCCTAAAGGGAGCTGCCGAAAGAAGAAGAACAAGAAGAAGATGATTTTAAATGACTGAGTTTATGCCACCTCTGTTTGCTCATCAAGGCTACATTAGCCACTACCACGTCAAGCAAACTATCAGCTGTTGAGTAGCATTGTAGGTAATGTGGGTGCCTGAAGATGACAGGAAGGAAGAATGAGTGGACTAAGAAAACCTCTGCAGTGCTGCTGCAGTCATTTTGAACCAAATTAAAATTAAACATAGGAGAAGCAGTGTTTGGAGATTTTCAGCCTTTCAGCCACAGCTGGGTCTGATTTGTGATTTTAAAACGTAATCACGGCTCATTAAGATGCTGTTTGAGTTCCATTAATCAGTCGCCGTGTGAGCTTCATTCATCTGATTTAAGAAACGCATCTCTTCCCCTTTCTTACCGGCTGGCCGTGTGCATAGGACATGTCGGCAAACTCGAGACTAATCAGCCTCGATTAGTCTTCCTGATCGTGACGGCCGCTGCATCAGCTTGTTGCTCGTCTCCATGGCAACCATCTCACAAGCTGTTCGCCCTCTTGTTGCAGGTGTTTGTGGAAACTGAGAAATGATCTTCTCGACCACCTGAACTAAGAAGAAACATTGACTGCAGATGGAGAATGGAGACCTGGGTCACATGGTGGGTAGTAACCGGTTTTAATTTTATAACACAATATGATTTCTTTTATAATATCCAGTATTTAAAAGCATTGCCATCACATTAGCCAAAAATTACCATAAGAGAAAAGTAATGCTGTCAGTGATGAGGTGCATGACCAAAAGCTCAGGATATTATTTTTATTAGTATTTTTCATAAGAAGGCGTTTACTGGTTTATTGTGGCTCATTTTTCTGTCAGGACTATATAGAATATGAAACTGTTAACTGTTATCTGAATAAATAAATAACTAAAACTACAATAAAGTAAGATCATGAAAATAATAAGTTAATCCACACAAACTCCATTTAGACTTTGTCTTTCAAACTTTGTAGTGCAAATTATTCTGTCATGAAGGAAAAACACCAGTTAAGAGGCACTTTGGCTTGCTGTGCACAGGCTTGTCATTACTTACTGTTATTTTAATGACAAATCAGTGCAGCAGCTAAGAGGTTCCTAGACTATAGGAAGACTCGCTAATCAGCAGTTTAGAATGATGACACTCTGGAGAAAATTCAATTCATTTTTGTTTTATATAGGGCCAAATCACAACAGTTCCCTTGATGAGAGGCGAAGAAAATATCTGTTTTCATCTCTCTTTCTAAAAAAAACCCCAAAACTAAACAAAGTACAAAAAACCTTTTGTTCATCAGTTACACATGAAGATCAGATCATCCTCTGTACCGCTGGAGTGGTGAGAGATTTGTTTTGACAAGTTGTAAAACAACCTGGTGCTGAATGCCCAGAAGACAGTGGAGATTATTGTGGACTTCAGGAAGCACACAGCCCGACTCCCCCCCCCCCCCCCCATCATCCTGACTGACACCCCCATCACCTCTGTGGACTCATTCCGCTTCCTGGGTACCACCATTACCCAGGACCTGAAGTGGGAGCCCACCATCACCTCCGTCATCAAGAAAGCCCAGCAGAGGATGTACTTCCTGAGGCAGCTGAAGAAATTCAACCTGCCAACACGGACGATGATGCAATTCTACACTGCAATCATCGAGTCCATCCTCACCTCCTCCATCACCGTGTGGTACGCTGGAGCCACTATCAGGGACAAACAGAGACTGCAGCGTGTTGTGCGCTCTGCTGAGAAGGTGATTGGCTGCAGACTCCCATCTCTGCAGGACCTGTACACCTCCAGGACACTGGGGCGTGCAGCTCGGATCTCAGCTGACCCTTCTCACCCTGGACACAGTCTGTTTGACCTGCTCCCTTCAGGCAGGAGGCTCCGGTCCATTCGCACCAGAACCTCTCGCCATAAGAACAGTTTCTTCCCCTCTGCTGTTGGACACATGAACAATAACCGTATGACTGTTCCCACCACTAACACATGACCCTACGCTGTGTTCACTGCATCATTCCATGTTTGGCACTGATCACCACCTGCACTCATGTATATATCTATCTACTTAGCACTTTTAATTCTTATTCTTATTTTTATTTATTTATTTATTTTTTCATGTCTATTTAAGCGTAATTTATGACAGTATGTTTGCACTGAAGCACCGCAGCAATTTCCTAATGTTGTAAACCTGCTCAACATTTTGGCAATAAAACCCTTTCTGATTCTGATTCTGATTCTAAAACGCAAGTTTTCAAATGGAGAAAACGATCAAAAATCAATGTTAAATTTATGAGAAAATATCTGATGAGGCATATTTCAAGAGTGAAGCTGAAGTATTTTGAGAAGCTTAGAATAAAGTCATCATTTTGGAGGAACAGACTCATTTTAAGAAGAGGAGCGGTGATGTTTTGAAAATATAAAGTCACAGAACAGTGTTTCACAAATAGTTTATTATTTGTGTGTGGGTATTGTTACGTAAAGCAGTTTCACCCCAGTTCTTTTTTTATTCCTTGGGCCTCCAGAGACTACACCGGACTCAGTAGTCATTTCACAAAACCTTTATTCATCTTCAGTTACGCACGCATCTTCTAGAAGGGGAGATGTGCAAGGCCGGTGTCCCTCTGCAGATCATCACTTCTTTGTTTGTTACAACCAGTTTTATAGAAGCGACCCTATCATGTGTTGTAAACTCTTTGTTTGTGTATGTATGCGCGAGCACGTGAGTGCCTGTGTATGCGCATACCTGTGTGTGTATGTGAGTGCACGTGAGAGACTGTGCGTCTCTGTATATGTGACGTCCTGTAGGTCATAAAAGTCCATCTCCCCTCACCCAAACTACACCAAATTCCTCTACAAAACATACAAAGCATAGCTGACAGATTACAAGCACTGAGACCCCCACTCTGCATCCACTGGGCCATTGGCCTCTTGTTGTCTTACTTTTACAGCTAAGCATGTGAAGGGTCTCCTGCAAACCTACTTCTAAGTTGTGACAATTATAAGCTTTTATTACATTCAGGGACAATGGGTAACAGACTTCTCCTCTCTATACTATCTGTTCCATACAGTCCTAGCATCCCCCAACTGTAGTTTCCTGTTTCCTTTTATGGCAGGCAGACCCCCAGTGTCAATAAATTCCTCTCCCTCTACACAATTACACACACTCAGGCCTATAGCTAAATCAAACTGAAACACACTTCCCTATTTCTCTGATCTACTGCTGGACCCTCTCATCTAAGCAAATTTAACACATTCTATTCTAATAATAGTTATCTTGTACTCACAGTATGCACACAATGAATTTTTAATATTATGTGCACAAGATATGAATGTAAATGAACAGCACATCAGGAGGATAGAAAAAGTGTCAGGAAGTGGACACCCCAAGAAAGAGAAAGCAAAATTAAAAAAAAAAATCAACATAGATTTCTTTGCTTCCTGTTTCCACTTCTACTTCTTCTATACCTGGTTCCCTGTCTCTGTGTGTCAGCGGAGCTTCTTCTTCTAGTTATCAACTAATTGTTTTTTTTATATAATATCTTATAGTATTTTAAAAAATGACCGTTTCTGGGTCTGAAAAGTGAAGCCAACAGGGAAATATCTATTGTTTATAATGGCCACCATGCCCTGACTCATCATGCCCTGACTCATTTCAGGTCTGATTGAACAATGAGTCCATTTTGTAAATTTTGGTCATTCAAAGTTTCAGAAAGGAGGATTATCCAGGCTGTGTTCAAGCTATGTGTCAGTGTGTGGTTTCTACTACTAGTGGCTACTATAAATACATCATAATAAAACCCCCCAGTGGCTGTGTCTTTGTTCATTGATCTAGTAGGATTTAAAGAAGTCCTATCATGTGTGAAATTGAGGCCAGTATACAGCTATATTAAGTATACCATCCAGTACTAAATGGGCAGAGACTGAGATGAAGCATAGACATGATTTTATATGATTCCGTATTCAGTTTATTCAGTTTCACATTTGTTTGCTCAGTTGTAGATGATCAGTGCATTTGAACCTACCACTGTGCTTATATTTCCTCCCGAGGGAGCTGTTTGTGTAGCACATGGTCTGGACTTGACCAGTTTTTCTGGACAAGCAACAAGTCCTCATAAGGAAATTATTGTAAATCAGATCTGTTTGTCTGTCTTTTTTTTTTTTTTTTTTTTTTTTTGGTATGCAGCCATTTTGCTGTCCAACCTGTCCTTCTCTCTGCTAGCCTTTCACCAGCCAAACATGTCTGGCATTTGAATGATGGCACCTCTGTCCTTTTCTCTTTGTGTGATCTTTTTCTTGTCTTTTTTTGTGTAGATATTTTGGGGTTTCCTCACTCTGGTCATGACCTTCAGAAAACTATCCGAGGATAAGAACAAGGGAGATATGTTAAGCTGATGAAAATTGGTGCTTTCAAACCTTTTACTGCAAAATTCAGACACTTTAGTGTTTTAGAAATGATTTAATATTACAGATTATTGTAGTGTTGTGTCAAAAAACTAAAATCAAAGACCAAATTTAGTCAATCCAAACTCTCAAGCTGGTGCTAATATATTTGAAAAACATTGGAGTTGTAGCTTCAAATTCCAGTTTATTGAAAATCACTTTAAAAAAAACCTCTGAGAATATAGACAGAAATTGTCAAAAAGGTCCCCTGGGGTATTAAACTGTAGACACATGGACCCCTCCAGACCCACAGGGGCTTTCGCTTCAATTCAGAGAATGGTTTATTAGGCTTAACCTTTTCCACTCCCCCTTAAAATTCCAGTCCTGATGTCATCTCTGGCATGTGTTCAGCTCAGAAAATCCAGTATTTTCCAGTTCTGTGTTTACCACCATTAGCGGGTCACAACGACCTGAAACACTCCAGTACCTCACTCCTCTGCCGAACTATCACCTATCAAAGCAGCACATGTGCTCTCCATCCTCCACTATGTTCAAAGCCAATTAAATGGCATAAAGGAAAATCCAGATAAAGTACACAAAATACACACATAAAATTCGACTTTGGTAGACCTCCAAAACTTAAAATACTGATTACCTGTGCTCAGAAAACCACGTGTGTTGTGAGATAAAATGCAACACTCCCACAATTTGTAAGGCAATACATGAGGACTATAATAAAGTGTTGAGTAGTGCCAATCCATGTGACGCTTCATTGTTTAATGTTGATCTCAACCTCAAACTTGTTAAACAGTGTTTCCTACTTTTCCAGTACTTTTCTTTAGTAGAAGGGTCAAAGGTCAAAGTTATAATTATGTAATGCTCAACCGCAGGTTATATCATTCTAGTTCAGGGGTGGGTCACATGATAAACTGGTACTCTTGGGAAAGGCCTCATCAATAAGTTAAACTCAGTTCTGCTCAAATACAGTTTTATCTCTTTATAAACTACTACTGATAGGTGTAGAGCTGGCTTGGCCCTGACTTATCAAAGAATTAAGAAAGCGGAACCGGCTGTTCAAACCCCCACAAGGCTGCCTGCTGGGATTGAAATGATGGGAAGAGGCGCGAGTTTCTCAAAATGGGCTCATTGAGTGCAGCACGTATAAGATCTTGGAAAGGCTATGGCTGCTGTGAATACTCAGAATAAGATCTCTGACTGCAGACTGGATACATCTCGGAAGGGCTAGCTCGGAATAACATCTCTGAGCACAAATTGGATGACATCTCGGGGAGGCACACTGTCGTGAGTTCTCAGAATCGGCTCCTTGAGCACAAGAAATGACAACATCACAGAACGCAAGTATGGCGAAGCTCGCGGCTCTCCAACGGGAGATTGAGGGACCAGTGTTGGACTGTAGAACTGCTTTGAAATTCATATGAGCTGTTCGCACTAAAGTAAAAGGCACCATCACTTCATGCGGATACCCTCTCGGCGCCAGCTGCGGTCGCAAGGCTGGAGCTGAACAACAACACCCTGATAACGACTGTGTTTAGATTGTTCCTTCCCATTCCATGCAAAGCCACCTGGGTTGGCTGGAAGACTGTTTACTTAGCCTAGCAGGGCGAAGGACACTGTCTCAGCTGAACTCTGGACACGGACACACATACATATACACTGATATGCACACACTCATCCCCCCTCCCTTTCCAAACGCCTTCGACGCTTATTCCTTTCCGATGCTGACGGTGGATCAAGGAGACCAGAGCACGCGACGAATCCTACTTCCGAGTCTAAAGTAGTCTGCGTTTAATATGGCTTTTGTGTTGTTAACATGTTTAATGTTATGTATTTTCTTCTATTTGATCTCAAAAAGCTCCTAAAACAGTCAAATTCAAATTCAAATTTTATTTGTCACGTACACAGTCATACACAGTACGATATGTAGTGAAATGCTTGGACAACTGCTCGTGACCTAAAGAAAACAAAAAAGGAAAGGCTATGAATAAGATAGGAAATAAATATGAAAAATTAAAAAGGGTAAATTTAACTAGGAAGGAATAAAATATAAATTAAGGTTAAAAATGAAATAACTGTACAACACAAATTAGAATGAAGGGTAAATTTAACTGGGAAGAATAAGATAAAATATATAAATTAAAGTTGAAAATAAAATAACTACAACAAAATACACAATACACAATATAGAACTATATAAGAATGTATGAAGAAATCTAAATATAAATAAATATATACACAATAACAGCAGCTGTACAAGTATTAACTGGAAATGAAGAATATAGTGACCAGTGTTGTGCAAAAACAATGTCCAGAAAGTCCAGTGTGTGTGTAAGAACCATATGTGTGGGTCAGTACTGTGTGGTGGTGTGATTGAGAGACCGTATCGCCTGCGGGAAGAAGCTCCTCCTCAGTCTCTCTGTGTTGGTCTTCAGGGAGCGGAATCGCTTTCCTGACCTCAACAGAGAGAACAGTCTGTTGTTGGGATGGCTGAGGTCCTTCACGATCTTCCTGGCCTTAGTCCAGCACCGCCTGCTGTAGATTGAGTGCAGGTCAGGGAGCTCGGAGCGGATGGTGCGACCACTGTTGACCTCCCTCGGCTTTTATTACCGCTAATCATTTATTTAAGCTCAGTTTTTAAAACCTTAGGATGTAACTACAGCCCATCCCATGCAGCAGTATATGAATGACTAACCTCGTATTGTGGATGGATTATCTCAGTTGTTCTCCTGGCTGAAGTTTGGTCCTTTTACAGCATCCTGCCATGCGATTACATTTGTTCCTGACCACCGAGAACACTCACGTTAACTTTTATCGAGTGGAAAAAAAGTTAGCTTGTTTATATTATGCTAACATAGCTGTGTCGCTAGCGGTCACGTAGCAAATCATTATATACCAGCTAGCCCAACTTCAGTAACCCTACAAACGTCACTGCTGTTTAGTTTTCTGTCTTCATTTATGCTGGAAGTGATAGCAGAGCTGTACGTTTTAATTTGTTTCCAAAACCCTGCAGTCAGGACATGCTATATTGTATTTAGATAGAAGCTAGCGAGCTAACTCCCTGCTAACTTCTAACTCCGTTAAATGTCATAAATTCCGTTTTCATGGATGCCTGGATGTTAAACTCAATTGTTACACCTGGTAGAGCAGAACGCTGATCATTTTATTAAAGATGAAAGACTTTAGACAGTTTTTCAACTCTCAGTAATGCCATAGTGATCGTTTGATATATGGACCTGCAGCGGAGTTTAGACCCAGACACGGCTAGTGACGTCAGACTGAACAACCGGATTCCTTTCCGATGCTGACGGTGGATCAAGGAGACCAGAGCACGCAGGCCCGGATGTACTGTCTAACTCGGCTGTCTCTCACCCTTTACCCACCCCTGTTGCTTGTCATGTGTTTCTTTGGTGTATTAAGGTTTTTTTTCATGTGCTATGTGCAGAGGTGTTTTTTTTTTCTGTTCTCAAACTGATCTCCCTGTTCGAGCTCAGTCTGGGGGGAGTTATTTTTTCCTCCTTATCTTTCCTCATGTGGTTCATTTTTCATTGTTATACCTCTCTGACCTGTCTTCCCCATGTGATGTTTTGTGTAATGTATGTATGGTCGGAGGGTAAGATGGCGCCGCCATTGCGTGCAATAGGTTGGCAGCCTTATGAAACTTCCCCTTGTGGGATTAATAAAGGTATATAAAATCAGACATTACAATTAGGTGATTAAAAATGTGATCAACATTCTAAAAAAGAGCTGTGAATAAATTGCGCTGAAGTTTTGTTTTGTTTTTGATTTTTTTTTTTCTTCTTTTTTTTTTTGTTCTTGTTCAGTGAAAGAAATCTAGTCTGTTTTGGGCTTGAACAAGTAGATATAAGCCAGGTTCAATATTTGATGTCAAAATATAAAGGATAGACACATCACCAGCAAATGTGAGACCAGTCTTCAAGTCTGCATCTGAGAGTTGAGCAATGTCCGTGTCTGTCTTCTGTTTTGTCTCATACTCTTTATAGCACTTTGCCCAGGCTGAAACAGCTCGCAGCTGTGTGGTAGCCTAGGTCATCATGTTCAGTCTCATGCTCATGTTCTCCTGATTTTCATGCATATTAGGCCTGTTTTCACTGTTTAACCCCTTGAGTCTGCATGGGACTGAAAATCTAGGTACAATTAGGGCTGTGCGATATGACCAAAATCTCATATCCCGATACAAAACATCTATCATCCCGATAACGATATAAATCACAAAAATTTTACATTTTATGTACATTCTGAGAATCGCGGGCATCTCGACTTGCGTAAAGTGTTTCCAGCTGGGCGTCGTGTACCTGGAGTCGAGTGTTTTAACCGAAGCATGAAACTATACATTTTTAGACATAAGTTGTAACAGCCGCCGTTTTCTTTGTGAGTATTTATTACACGGCGTGCTGCGGGGAAAAGCCTGTTCTAACATTTTAGTCTAAGGTTTATTTTTTTAGCACCTGGCGGCTCTTTTTTGCTTCTCATCCGTAAGTAGGGATGGGTATCGTTTAGGTTTTATCCGATACCGGTACCAAACCGGTACTTTTGAAACGGTGCCGGTGCTTAAACGGTGCTCGAACCGGTACTTAAAGAATGGAGAACACACACTTTATCCAAAAACCTCTCATGTTTAGCTGTTTCCCTCTTTTTCTTTGGTCATTTTAGCCTTTTTGGCCAGGGTGAAGGGAGCATCTGCCATCAAACAAGAAGACAGCCACATGTAACTATGACGTGTTTGCTAGTTCACCTTACCTGCATTAATGTAATAACGTGGTTAGCCTACTCAACGTAAATTACACACCAACAACATAAAGCTACTCACGCAGAGAAGAACGGCTGCTGCTGCCATCATCATCCGTCATCATTTCTGCTACACTGGCAGGGCTAGGGGCCAGGACTCTACTCTTCGGGTTTTTGGGGGATGTTGCTAACTCCGGGTCCAATAACAGGCACCACACCCGCAGTAGATGTGCTCGGTGTGAGCTCTTGCAGCAAGCTATCAAATACGGCGCATTTCTCGGCTTTAAAAGCCCCCGCTATGCGTCGCCAGTTGTTTCATCAGATTCGAGGTGTTACCTCCTTTGCACAGTATCACCTTAAAGCACTTGTTGCAGGCTGTTGAGTTTGCATCTTTTGCTGTGAAGTACAGCCAGACTTTGACCGCTTCGCTTTGGGCATTTTTAATCTGTAGCTCTGCTCTAAAAGAACGTACGTACCTGGGCCCGCCTACTACGCTCGCAAACGTAAAACGATTGGCTAGAATCCAAAGTGTATGACATCTCAGGGGAAAAAAGCACCGAAATGTGCGCTGCTTTTCGGTCTGGTTACTACCGTTTATGTCAGAACCGGTGCCATCATGGCACCGGATACCGGTACCCATCCCTATCCGTAAGTATTCTGCGTACTCTTTTATGTGATTAAGTTTATTTTGAAAAGTCAACAGGATCTTGAGCTTTATTCCAAAAGTTTTATGTGGAAGATAAACAAGCGGACACGCGATGGTTTTACCGTCGTTGTTGCTAACGACAACGCATAAAAACAGTCGCTTGTCCGTCCGTAGTGTGGTTATATTAAATATAAGAGAAAGAGAGAACTTTAAGAAATTAGTATAGCCACTACAGTGACCATCAAAACGGTGAAAACATATTACTGTAAAGAGTTTATTTTGCGACACCACGAAACAAACGATAGCGTAAAATGAAATGATAGACGTTTTTATATCGTCATCCGATATATATCGTTATATCGAACAGCCCTAGGTACAACCCTAGTGAGAAGTCACAATGTCTGCTGTGGAAAAAAACTGCCATTGACAAAAGCCTTGAGTGTTATCTCTGCCTACCTACTTTGTCCAGATGGGGGAGCCAGTTACTCTGAATGTGGGCGGCTGTGTGTATAGCACATCCCTGTCTACGCTACAGCGCTACCCAGACTCTATGCTGGGAGCCATGTTCAGAGGTGACCTCCCCACTGTCAGGGATGCGCACGGGAACTACTTCATTGACCGTGACGGCCCACTGTTTCGGTGAGTGAGATGGGTTTTTTATTTTAACTTCTGCAGTTGATTGATGAGATGCAATGCAGTGCTGTTGAGGACCTGGCCAAGTTTCAAGAGGTTTGATAATAGACCCTGTGCATGAGAAAATGCTAACTTCCTGGTTTGAGACCGGATGTGGGGTTGTACATTTCCGGTAGCTTTACTTTGTGGTCAATCGCTACTGCGAAGATATACTCCAAAATCATGTCCAAAACTCGAAAACGGAAAGATCGCGTTAAGTTACAAAGAGCAGAAGGTGGGAACACTCACCACTGTTGTGTCATAAAAAATCTAATGATCAATTTTGACGTTTAAAGAGTTTAGATCGATCAGTTGTTTACATCACTCAACACAAGCAGAACTGCATTACAAAATCAGAAGACACATCGTCCACATTCAGAAGCACATCTGTATAGTGACTGGTCTTATGATTTAAACAGGCAAATGTTCAGCATTCAAACTACAGGTGAACAATAGTCAAACCAGATGTTTCCCCATTATGTCGATATCAGCTAGTCAAGTACACACCTACACAGCATGTTAACAAACCGTGAAAAAAAGCCACACAAAAAATGAATTATTGCTGGTAAGGGTTTCTATACATTAGTATTTACGAAGGGTATGTTGTGACTTACCTTCAAAATTACAGTGGTCCCTCGCTATAACGCGGTTCACCTTTCACCTCGGTGTTTCGCAGATTTTTTAGTGCAGGTTTGCATGTTTTTTTTACATCACATTGTCCTGCATCCTGATCGCTGCAGACGATCTCCTCCGTGACGTCTCTCCTGTACAGTACAGAATCGCTGCATCGATCGCTAGCAGTGTGACTCTGAAGTGCAGTACTGTATGTCGATGAAAAAAATAAAATTGGCTACTTGATTTCACCTATCGCTGGTTACTTTTAGAACATAACACCCGTGATAAATGAGGGACTGCTGTTTACAGATACTGAGAAATATAAAATTTGAATCCCTTTTCTGTTTTGCTCTGAGGCGCGGGGGGGAAAATATCGACAAGTCGATGAACATCATTTACAGATATATTGGGTAAATGCCCAAGACATCTATAGAAATGTAAATCGCCGCTTGGTTCATTCATTTGCTTAACTTGTTTTGGACCGTAAACAAGGCACGAATAGGACACCGGAAACAAAGCTCCCCACAGGAGTTTCCGCACCTGAAGTAGCATATGCTAACGTGCACATAGTCTATTGATTCTCAAGTAGTATCACTATCAGGAGTTGAGGTAATTTCCATGGGAACGCAGTCATTGTTAACAGAATCTGTGGCCTGTTAATCATTAAATTCCTGTGGTATTCTCTACCATAGCTATTTGCATCTGTGGTTCGAACTTTGGCCCCAGAAGTTATGTGAAGTCATACTTTTCGGCACTGGCACCAGTGTATCCTTGGTGGAAACTGCTTCTAGATTGGGCAGCAGCACTATATGAGTGGAAAAAGGGACATTAAGGCTGTGTCAGCTGAGATTAAATGGATAACATGGCAAGTGGTAGTCTGCTGGAAAGTCACCATTCAAATGAATGTCCAAGCTATCCTGTTATAAGTACAGGAAATTTCAAGACACTGAAGCGCTAATGAATTAATACAGGCTAGGTATTGAGTGAAATATCAGGTTATTATTAATCAGAAGATTTAGGAATGCTACTGGAGCTGATAGGCAGTAATTAATAAATACACACAACACAAAATGCTTTTGCAGGTACCATGTATTTAACCGAAACCAAAGAAAAATAACAAGAAAAGAAAAGGAAAACTTAAATAATCACTCCTGCTGCAGCTATTCAATTAATCAAAAACCCAGTGGGGGTGCACAAAGACAAGCAAATTCTTATTCTTATTCTTATACCAGGCAATATAGATTCTCAAAAAAGTTCCCCATAAATAACACATGTTAACATCAAAAACACTGATCCACACTGAAGAGGAGGAAGTCCATGAGTTTTATCTGAATGTCCATGAGAGATGTCAAAGCGCTATTGTCCATAAACGGGGGAATGGTGTGTATGATTGCGGAAATCAGTGTATTCGGAAAATGGGCACAGAGCATCGTCTTTGATAACTTCCTACCAGTCCAGTGGAAGCTTCAATGCAGAATGATTCCTGCTCCTAGCCGTTCATTGGCTCGCCATCCTTTTTCATACCCAAAAAGGTTCACCTGGCCTGCACTAAATAAACAAGGCCAATAAGAAATGACAAGAATAATACAAAAATGTCAGCCAAATAAGCTACATACATGAAGTTATTCTTGTTCCTGTGTACACGATTTATAAATGAATAAACAGTATATTTAGCCAATCAGGATTTAACTGAAACATTCCAACTGCTATATACATATTGTGGCGAGCTCAGACAAGGAGGAGACGGAGGTATCGTTTGGTCTTGCTTCCCGTGAGCTAGCCAGGGAGCACAGCCATTTATTAACATCTGCAGAAAAACACTGCCGCTAGCTAACTGCTCAGCACGGCAACAGCACAGCAACAACAACAACAACAACCCCGGAAGGACACACCGTCGCAGCGAGAGGGCGTCACCTGTCACTATGGCAACATAAACAAAACATAACTGTACAAACAGAACCCTGAACAGCCCTGACCCGCTACATAGCCCCCACCTAAGGGGTCAGTCGTCCCCGACGACCCCATTACCCCACACAAAGTTCTGCAAATGTCCAGGTGCCTTCTTTTGGTGCACCGGCCGGTCACGACCGGCGGGGGAAAAGTCCCTCGGGTCAGAACATGGGGTGCCACCATCATCCCCTGCCCCGGCATCTGCCAGAGCGAGCAGTCGGTACGGTGAGAGCCTGTCCCGGTGCAACACCACCATGCGCCCCGGGCCCGGCATGCGGATACGGTACACCACGTCTGTTAGCCGCTCCACGACCTCCGCCGGCCCTTGCCAGTGACTGCAGAGTTTGGGGGACACTCCTCTCTTGCGAACCGGGCAGTACACCCAAACCTTGTCGCCAGGCGTGAAAACCCCCCCTCGGCACTTGGTGTCGTAGGCTCTTTTCTGTCGTACTCCGGCGCTGGCCTGGGCCTGGCGGGTGTAGTCATGAACCACCTGCAGCCGCTCCCTCAGCCTCCTGTAGTAGTCCATCTCTGGCCCACCATCAATCTCCGGCTCGGGGGGGGGACCGAACACCAGATCCACAGGCGTCCGGAGCTCCCGTCCAAACATCAGAGCAGCAGGTGTGCACTGGCTGGACTCCTGCACCGCAATCCGATACGACCAAAGGACCAGGGGCAGATGTCGGTCCCAATCCCGCTGGTGGCGGCTGGTGAGAATGGCGAGCTGGGTGGCCAGCGTGCGGTTGAAGCGCTCAACCAAGCCATCGCTTTGTGGGTGGAGCGGTGTGGTTCTCGTCTTCTCCACCCCCAGTCGCCGGCAGATCTCCCCGAAGACCTTCGATTCGAAGTTACGCCCCTGGTCACTGTGGAGCTCAGCCAGGACCCCAAAATGGGGGAACATCTCCTCCACCAGCTTCTCGGCCGTTGTCGTTGCGCTCTGGTCTGGCACCGCGTAGGCCTCTGGCCACTTCGTGAAATAGTCCATAGCCACCAACACATACCGGTTCCCTGACTCTGTGACGGGGAAAGGCCCTAGGACGTCCACTCCCACTCTTTCCATTGGGGCCCCCACCAGGTACTGCTGAAGGGGGGCAGTTCCACATCCCGTCGACAGCCAGGCCATTAAAACAGTCCCCTGAGGCGGCGGAGAGTTTTGGCGTTCCCATAGTGCCCTGCCCCCACCGAGCCATGGACCAGCTCAAGCACCTGCGACCGCAGCGACCGAGGCACCAACGGCTGCAGGAGATCTCTGCCCTGACCGGGGGCCCGCCATCTCCGGTACAGGAGGCCGTCATGGGTCTCCATATTGTTGTGCTGGGAGTAGTAGGCCTTCACCTCGGGCTCCTGTCCCGACACCACCGTCCAGGCGGGGCATTGCGCCGCCTCCAGCCAGGCCCCCACCTGAACCAACGTCGCGTCGGCCTCCTGTTCCCGCTTCAGCTGCTGCGTTGTCAATGGGAGCCACCCCCCTCCGCTGGCTGTGGCCTGAGCAGTAGCCACCCCCAGCACCTCCTGGGCCCGCTCCTCCTGTCGCAGGCAGTAGCGGCAGTAGCGGCAGCCGGTGTGGGCGCAGACGGATGGGCTGAGCAGAGCCGGTGTCGATGGTGTGCTGGACCAGACTCGTCTGCCTACAGTCTTTGTCACTGGCGGCAAAGATGCCCACATTCTCGTCCAGGAGGCACCTCAACCGCTGGCGCTGGTCGACGTTGAGGCCTACGCTGCTGCGCTGCCAAAGGTCATCAACAGCCTCGATGGTCTCAGTTGAAGGAGGTTTGTCGGGCTGAGAGGCTGAGGCGAGTGGAGATGACCCGGAGCCACCGGCATCCGAAATCTGCTGAGCGGCAGCTGCCCGACGCCTCTCTCGTCTGGTCCCCGCTCCCTGCTTTTGGCCACGCTGGAGGGCAAAAGTCTCTGCGCCAAGAGTGATAGCCAGCTTCACGGTGTCGACGCAGGCCCCCCAGCGGCTCAGCAGATCCAGGCCAATGATGCACTGGTCTTGAATGTCGGCGAGCCAGAAGTTGTGCACCAGCTCTAGATCCTTCACTCGGATCCACAACGGTTTCTTCCCCCGCATAACAGTTTTCTCCCCCATCACGGTCATCAGCTGGGTGTCTGTGGGCAACCAACCCTTCACCAGTGGCCCGGATGTTTCAGGGAGCACGCCAGGTCGTATCAGGGAAATGGTAGACCCCGTGTCCACCAGGGCCTGGCATGGCTGGTCCTCAACACAGCAGCTCGGGCACCTCAAGGGACTCTACCTAACTCGGCCCACCACTGTGCATCGTCCTTGGAGGGGGGCAGGAAGCTGGAGCGGTGGTCCCCTCGCTACACCGCTCCCTCCTCGTTTCCCTGAGGCTGCGTAGTTCTGGTCTTCGGGGCTGGTGCTGGGCAGTCACGCGCTA